AGATCTTTGCAATTTGAAGATCTGAGTGGCACTGCAACTGTTATGGACAGGCGTCTAGCCTACCATCAGGCGCACGACTTGTTCCGTCACTTGATATCATAAAAAAGAATATACATTTTATTTTTATAAGTATAATTTATGTGCAAGATTGACACGCAGAGTATAGATAAGTAGATGTACCTGTCCTAAATACATCACAGCTCTTGTAGAATAGTGTTTTTTTTTTCACTTATGACACAGCTGTATTCAGAATGTACATTTTAATGTGAAAACGACACCACGATATACGCTGATTAATTATGTCAGCATTGAACCAGTACACGATTTGGCAGAAGATATTTTTGTTTTTTAAACTGATCAATCTACACTACCTCAAATAACATAACAAACTAACAATGGAACTATAATGTACATGGCATATACAGGGTGTCCCAAAACTCAACGATGACCTGGGAACAGGATGTTGCGTAGTTTGTAACAGCCCAGAAAAAAAATATTTAAAAAATCGGAGACTTTTTTTGTGATATAAGCATTTTTCGAAAAATGTTGAAAATGTACGTTCTGTACACCATTTTTAAGTACTTCAATTACAAATTTGCTAATTTTGATGTTCTGGTTTTTGTAATGGTAACCCAAACAGCCCAGCTAATGAACACAATGTCAAAGAAAGCCCAAATTGCTAGTCTCACCACAAAAAAATACTGTATTTAATTGTTTTCTTGAAATTTTGAGCAGATTTTTTTTCAAGGTAACTTTGACACCCCATACTGTAAAAAAATGTATCTGGACTACCATGGCAACATGATCTTGGTTTTTCTAAAAAGGAACCAATTTAGAAAGGTTACCTTTTCTGAGCGAAAATGGTTTTCAGTGCCTCCTAGGTTAATTTAAGTTTCAGATTCATGTGGTCGTAGTTACTGGTAATTATGATTGAGTATTATGGTATTGGTATTGGTGCAACGGGCTAGTTTCCGCAACTCGACGTCGAGGCGCCTATTTTGCGTGTGGTGGGTGCAGGGTCCTACTCGTGCCACCCAAGCTCCTCCAGGAATCTCAGCAGCCTCTTCGGTTTTCTGAAGACTTCGGGGAGCGACCTCGGCACTCCAAGGTACTTTGCCCTGTAGTTGGCCACACCGGAGCACTCTAGTAGGATGTGTGCGGCCGTTTCCTCCCCCTCCATGCACGCTCTGCATAGAGGACTGTCCGTGATACCTAAATTGAAAAGGTGTTTATTGTATGGACCATGACCCGTTAGAGCGGCAGATAGAGTGCGCAGCTCTTGTCTTTCAAGTTTGATTAATTTACGAGATAGACTGGCGTTGAGCGTTGGGAGTGCTTCCCGAGCCTATCTACAAACCGTAAGGGTTGTCCATATGTTATTATGAGAAGATTTTGTACCTTTGAGTATAGTTGTTCTTGACCATTGGTTGGGGAGGGACACTATGGGTTCTGGCCCTACAGCATCCGTCTCCGACCCTTTTCTAGCTAGTTCGTCTGCTGCGTCGTTGCCACGTGAGCCGCTGTGTCCTTTAATCCACTGTAGAATTTCGTGGTTGTGTGTACATACCTCTATGAGTGCTTGATGGCATTCATATATAAGCCCTGAGTTAATGTCATAGCTGCTCAGCGCTTGAAGTACTGACATGCTGTCAGAGAGTATTCGAATGGAGTGATTCTTTACTCTTCTCGCTATTATTGCTTCTGCTGCCAACTTCATACCCATACATTCAGCCTGGAATACTGTGTTGTGGTCACCAAGCGGTGTTGATATTCTGATGTTGATGTCTTCTGAGAACACCCCTGTACCTGTTCCTGAGTTTGTTTTTGATCCGTCAGTGAATACGCGGACCTCTCTGAGGTTTAGTCCTTCGTTGGGATCTTCAAACAATTGTATCCTGTATTTTTTGTCAAAAATGTATTGTTTTGGGATCCTATCCACAGTCGCCTCCAGTAGCGGTTCCTCTTTGACTATCTTGTAAAGGATTTCTGTATGTGGGGTCCTCATGTGCTTCCACAGGCCGGCTCTCTTTAGTCGCACTGCTGTTGACGCCGCTTCCTGTCTGATAAACAGTGGGAGGGGTCGCATGTCCAGCATCGCTTCGAGCGCCGCAGTTGGAGTTGTCCTCATGCAGCCGGTCGTCGCCATGCATGCTAGCCTTTGGAATTTGTCCAACTTGTCAGTTGCAGTCGTCAGCTTGGTTCGTGGCCACCAGGCTATCGCACCGTAACTAATCATAGGTCTTATCACCGTTGTGTAAAGCCATAGTGTTATCTTGGGTGAAAGTCCCCATTGTTTACCTACCATTCTACGGCATTGCCAGAAGGTGATAGTAGCTTTTTTAATTTTGTTGTCCAGGTGTTTGTTCCAGTTCAACTTGTTGTCCAGAATTACTCCCTACCTGGGACATCGGTTGATAATTGTATTTCTGTTCTAAAGAGTTTGGGTAGTAGGTAGTTACCCAGTAATCTTTTGTTTGTAAACATTACTAGTTCTGTTTTTGTTGGGTTAACTGTTAGTTCATGTGCTCTACACCATCTTTCCACAATCCGGAGTGCAGCTTGTGTGATGTCACAGAGTGTACTGGCATAATTGCCTGTTATCAGTATGGCTATGTCATCAGCATAGCCTATTGTATAGAAGTGTTCTTTGTTAAGGTTGGTGATGAGATCATTTAAATTTATGATTGAGTAAGTATGATTGAGTGAGGCAAACAGTCTCAAATTTCCACATTTCTCGATTCCTATATCTATAGGAATTTAAATAAAAGTATTGAATAAATTATTATAATTTTATTACAGACTACAGCGAGTGCTCTAACTGTTTTCCACCGGCATCAATACTTGCACGGCAACGCCTTAAAAATGACCTTTTCACCAATCGTGCATATCGTCGTAAATTTATCTATTGTACAACTTCCGTGATTCTTCGTCGTAATTCGGCAACGTTTGATCCGAATCCGATGATTTCCATAAACTTTTTCTTTCAGACAGCCCCAGTAAAAAAAAGTCTAGGGGGTTCAAGTCTGGAGAACGGGGTGGCCACAAAATTGGACCAAGGCGCCCTATCCATCGACCTGCGTACTCTTCATTCAGATATTCTCTCACTGGACGGGCATAATGAGCAGGACGCCTGTCATGTTGATACCACATTTCCCACAATATGCACGTCTTGCAGTAAATCTGACAGATGGTTTTGTAGAAAGTCCAGATAAGTTGCACCATTTAAGGTTTCTGGCAATTTGAATGGCCCAATAACTTGGCCATTCAATATACCCTTCCACAAGGTTATTTTAAATTGATACTGTGAATTATCTTCCCGCATTAAATGTGGATGTTTCCACACTCCAACTGTGTAAATTGTGAAGATTAAGATAACCGTCCTTTTTGCACGTTGTTTTGGTAATTTTTTTGCACACGGTGCACGTGGTAAGGATGGAATCTGTTGCGCTGCAGAACACGATGTGCACTGCTTTTTGGCACTCCCGTTTTTTCTTCTATGACGCGAACTGAAATGCTCGCGTCAGTGTTGATTTCTCGTAAAACCTCCTCATCGTAATCCATCGAAGGCCTTCCTGTACTTCTCTAGCCACCAGGTAAACGACCTTCCGATAACAATCGGTGGACATTTATGAATATTCGATAGCCTGGATATTGTTCAAGATTCGGGTATCTCTTGCGATATAATCTGCTGGCAGCATAAGCATTGCATCTGCCTTCTCCACAAATCAAATGCATGTTAGCGTATTCTAACCCTGTGTATGGAGATGGCATAGTGTACAAAACTCTGAACAACTTGCACCACAACACAATAACTATGTTCAGAAGAAAGCCAGGTTAGTTCAGTTTCCGAATCACAGGACAATCAAGTCCAAAATTACACAGCCAAAGTCACGAAGTAATCAGAAACCGTTGTGAAATAGCCGAGTCATTAGACACCCGAATGCATGACAGGCACAACACCGAATAAAAACAATTACAAGAAATTTCAAAAATATCATGTTGCTACCTGCAGATAAATAGGTATAACTGTCTCGCTCGCACATTTAAATTATTTTACTGCCATCTTTTTGTATTAATTCAAGGTACGGTGGTTTATGTTAAAAATTATTAAAATTACAATTTATGTATTTTCTTGTTGTCACATTTTTCACCTAAATGTCGTCTCAAGTTAGCATTAGCATTGCCGGTCTATTCTCGCTGCAAACTTAATGGTGTATATCTCCCTCATACGTATTACAAGGATGTGAAACCTAAATTAACCATAGAGACACTGAAAGCCATTTTCACTTAGAAAAGGTAACCTTTTTAAATTGGCCCCTTTTTAGAAAAACCAAGATTATTTTTTTCCAAGAAGCATGACTTAGAAGGTTTTATACCATTTTAGAATTTTGATTAGTCACACCAACTTTTGTAACAAGTTGCCATGATAGTCGAGGTACATTTTTTTTTACAGTATAGGGTGTCAAAGTTACCCTGAAAAATCTACTGAAAATTAAAAAAAAATTACATACAAAATTTTTTTGTGCTGAAACTTTAACAATTCGGGCTTTCTTTGGCATTGTGTTCATTAGCGGGGCTATTTAGGTTACCGTTACAAACACTAGAACAGCAAAATTAGCAAATTTGTAATTGTAGTACTTAAAAATGGTGTACAGAGCGTACATTTTCAACATTTTTCATTAAAATGCTTATATCACAAAAAAAGACTCCGATTTACAAAAAAAAAAATTTTCTGGGTCATTACAAACTAGACAACATCCTGTTCCCAGGTTATTATTGAGATTTGGGACACCTGTATATAGTTATAATATCCACATGCATTAAACATCATTATGTTTGTATTATGAATTTTTTATTTAAAGTGTAAATGTTTGGTTAAGCTTTTGATAGACTACTATAATACCAATAGAAATGAAGATATTTAATGGTTTTTCTAATTACAAATCTATACCTATAAAAAAATCATAAAATAAAATGTTATGTTTAGAAATATTACTCACTCAGTTCCCAAATTATGAAAGAACAAAGATCCATTACAGAAATATTCTGGGCCTGTAATATTGGCATTATCAACAAAGTAATAGGCATTGTAGGGCTCCCCCACCAGCCATTTGTTCTCCAGGCGGTAGCAACCTCGGTACCACAGGTACATTTGAGTAGTGACACAGATCTGCAAGAAGCGTCTACATGTAAAAAGAATATTACGAAACCAAGATTATTAGTTGACGACGCCGAAAGTATCACTTACGCGGGAACAATTCCCATTTCGGATAGGAAACAAGACAGAAGAATGTCTTGTAGACTTGCTTTTCTCGGTTTTACTGCTAAAAATGCAACTGCTTGGCGAGACGTTAGTAAGGGTGCCCACTGCAAGATCCCATTTGGTTTCCTCATCGGCGACGGGTGCGCAATATGTGACATTATAACTGCCGGGAATGTCGGTCCTCTGTATCGAGACGTTCTTCCCGGAGCCGCTGACGCATTCCCAGGAGTGACCTAACTCGGCACTGCTCTCACTCAGCAGCACCAGCGTCAAAACCATGATCGCGAACATCTTGAATGTATTGTTTTTTTACACGAACACATAACACAGTGAGACCTTGCGATCTATATAGTAAAACTTTTAGATATTATCACAATTCTATCAATTTTAAAGCTAAGTATTTATGATTTTAAACAAAGCTTAAATAGAACTGAGTAAAATAGATAAAAAAATAAAAATTCAACAAAAACACCCAACGACACGTCTAGTTTTTTTTTTTTCTAGTGTGTAGTGTTGTCATTTCAAACAATAATCCTACTATCGATAGTTGAGACGAGTTTTAGTATAATTTATAATAATAATATTTTCACATAGGTTGACTAACACTAAAAATTGCCTCGGTGGCTGAACGGTTACCATGCTGGACTTGCCACGCAGAGATCTCGGGAACGATCCCTAGGTCGGGAAAAATATTTGTATAGCCCACATCCATTTCTCTCGTGTGTCTGGGTGTAATTTGTGGTTGTCTATGTGTATGTCCATGGTACCCGCGATACAGGGTGTTTTCTAGTGCTCATAAGTTAAAAAAAATTACCTATTGTTGCTATATAGAAATATTCACAAAATTGCGTCTAATTGCATTTAATCAATACTATAGATTTCACTTTGACAATGTTTGTGTATGTGCTACTTAAAAATTTAACTACCTTGGAAGGTAATTACCATATTAGTATAATGTATTCTTTGGCAAATACTGTTTATCAAACCATCGACATTCATAATAGGATTCTACCCAGGTAAATACCCAAAATGGGAAAATACCCGGGAATATTCCCATTGAATCCACTCGATGTATACTTGTTCGGATATTTGTTTTTCGAAAAAAACAAATTTACTCGATTTAGATCTCGAAAAAAAAAAGTTTCATTCCCTAAATTGATACTTTTGGTAACCACGGGTAGTAAGTAAGTAAGTAGTAAGATTTAAAACATTGATAGAATTATTTATACGCAAACAATGCCATCGAACTATCGGCAAAAACTAATAGTCAAACTGTTGTAAAGGAAACAATTTTATCAATATTGTTATAAATACTAGCGTTTAAGGTTTTTTTTTTCCATCCTCTGAGGTTTAAGGTCAACTATCGATAGATTTACAGCATTGTTTCTTGAATGCATGTAGCATTGACATTTGTTAAATTTAATTTCATGACCTTGGATTCGAGTACTTCAGTCGAAATTTTAGTGATTAGTGTTAGGTCATGGAAAAATTTCCTTTTTTTTTAAATCATATTTTTCAGAAAAATGAATATTTTTCCTACGCGCTTCCTTTACCGCGAACATTCACTTGTAATGTAACGTTCAAAAGTAAGCATTATAGGCGGTTAGGGAGCAGAGCCAAGCATTCGTTGGGCAACACTTGTAACCAATGATGTTATATAGATGCGCAATCTGCGCCTCCAAACGGTACCCACCCACGGCACTGTTGCCTGCAGGCAACAGACTAGAAATGTAATACTAATTCCAATTTTATAGAATAGGTATGTTAGAAAATATTGAAAAATATTTTAAAAAGTATGTATAGCTGCTCAGGTTAAGTTTCACAGCGACAAAATTAGACAATCATTAAATAAATCTAAAACTACTTGGAGCATAATAAATGAAGAGTCAGGCAGGGTTAAAGAACACGATAGAGGTATAGTTTTAAAATTCGACGGTAAACTTATAAAATCTAACGACAAGGTAACGCAAGCTTTTGAATCGTTCTTTTCGGAAATTGCTGTGAACACTACAGAATCATCAAATTCCTCCCCTTTTCTTGTTATTGATCTCCTGAAGGAAAATGTTAACGTTTGTGGCGGTTTATTTAATTTCCGTCATGGTAATCCACAAGACATCAAAGCTTTTAAATCAATACATGTTAAAAAAACTGAAGATTTTTGGGGCATATCAACTAAAGTTATAGACTTAGTTATTGATCTAATTTCCCCACATTTAGCTGTAGCTTTCAATCGGTGCGTTGACGAAGGTGTTTTTCCAGATTTCATGAAATACAGCAAGGTTATTCCCTTATTCAAAGGCCTATAGTTGCTAGGAAAGTTGACCCTAGCAACTATAGGCCCATTTGAATTTTACCAGCTTTAAGTAAAATATTCGAAAAGGTTATGCTGACTCAATTGCTGTCCTATTTCGGTAGGAATCACATTTTTCATAGTGAACAATACTGATTTCCTAGTGGTAGATCGACTAGTGATGCGGGGGTGCGTTACTAAAACACGGTGTGGCGTTACTAAAACACTTCTTTGATCCTTGGGAAAGGTCCCAGAACGCTAAATGGTGTTTTCTGTGACCTCTCAAAGGCATTTGATTGTGTTGACTATATTACTCTTATTAGGAAGCTGAAATATTAGGTACGGTGTAAATGGCAAAGCGTCTTGCCTCGTCATATTATCTCAACGGTAGAATACAGAAAGTAGACATAAATGGAGTGACTTCTTTGCTTTGGGTTCTCCGGTAAAAATGAATGTTGCGCAGTGCTCAATACTCGGACCTTTCTTATTTCAGGCGATGAGGTGCCCAAAATTGCTTAAATATGGTGTTTTTGTGTAAGTTTTTAGGCGATAACATAGCACGTGGAACTTCAAGAATAGTACATCCTGTAACACGTATCTTGAAGTGTAGCTTGAAATTCTTAGAATATTGCTTATTGTCATAGGTAATACAAAAATATAAATAAATATTTTTTGATATATTTTTCTCAGGCAAATCAAACTTGCTTACTACCAAATTTGGTAAGCTATATAAGTCTGCAGTGGTCTGAATTTAGTAGTTTTTATAAATTTGTGTAGGGGAACACCAAATTATAATCTTGATACTTGACTAAAATGATTCAATTACTTGTTATTGTTACATACTTATATTGAGTATTGATTGTGTCCTTATCTTACTGATGTATAAATAAGAATAAAGTATACATATATATGTATATACTGTGTTAAATGGGACCATTGTTTACCACTGATGTATCGTTAACAATAAAAGACAAGTTTTTAAACAATTTCGATTTATTTGTTTTTTTTTTCATTGTCAAATTACGAAATTTGTTCTTCATCGCTTGACAAGTCGGATTCTAAATATTCTATGCCTTCAAATTTATCGTCGTCGCTCACAATCTCACTGTGGTCACTGTCGAAATCCCGAACATTTATGACAAAAGAAATTGTATCGTCGTCCAGTAATCTATCTGTTTCTTGATGTTTCTCTTCGAACCGTTTCACTTGATTTACATATTTTATCCAATCATCTTTAGTTACTGATGAAAAAGGTTCTTCAATTTTTGTGATCATTTCGTTTGTAGTACTTTTTATATTCTTTTTAGCAATTTTTCTTTTTACCTGGCTCCATACCATTTCAATAGGGTTTAAGTGACAATGATATGGTGGTAGCTAGGTAGATATGGCTCATGGCCGTGTTCTTTAAACAATTCATCAATTAAATAAATTGGGTCAGGTTTATACCTTTTCCCTAAACACAACAGTTCTTTTTTGGTGAATTCATTTGACCATGGAATACTGTTTGTAGTTAACCAGTCTCTTATTTCTTCTTTTCGTGAACTGGTGACTGGGGATTTGTTTATCTGGACGCTGTAATAACTAGCATTGTCAAAGACTATTATGCTTGGTGACTCCAGGTTGGGTAGCAATTTTTCTGTAACCCACTTTGAAAAATTTTCTGCGTTCATATCGTTATGATAATCTTCGTGTTTCGACTTTGTGCTAAAAACTTGTAGGGCGTTGTTTACAAAACCATTTTCTGTGCCAGCGTGAACTATAATGAATCGTTTGCCCTTTGAGATGTTTGAAATCATTTTAGAAGTAGATGGCCCTTGCCTATTTTTTTTGGGCTTGTAATTCAAATGTACATAAGTTTCATCTACATACACAATAGGTTTTGTAGATTCCACAGGCTCATTTTTTAATGCCAAAATTTTTCTTATGTACCGATGGCTCCAAGCAGCCACTTCATCTTTTTCCATGAGTACAGTCCATTCTTCAGTATTCTTTGTGAATTCATAGCCCATATTCAATAAAATTCGCCTTAATGTTTCCCGACAACCATCAAACTGGATAGCGTCATTTAATTCTAGTAACAATTTTTTAAGTGTTGGCACTTCTTTTTTGGTCAAATAATATTCATCTATTTTATTTCTAATAGCACTTTGATCAAAATTATCAATGTTGAGTTTAGTAGCCCGCGATGCGCGCTTTTTTTCAGGAGTTCTCCAAATACCCTGATTGCACTGACCTTCTTTCTTGATCACCCTAAGAGTTTGTTCACTTATGCCTGTAAAGAAAAAAAAAGGGATTTAATGAATTAATATTATGAGATTTTAGTTACACATGTAACTCAAAAAAATTTATAAAATACGCTTACCACTCATTAAAGCGATGTTCTTTCGCTGGAGGTTTAAACTTCTAAATCACTTAGATTTTGAAGAGCATTCTGCAAAAGAGGCTTGATCGTCGCTTATTCCACCTGGAAAAACAAGAAAATATAAACAAAATCCGTGTATGTGATATACCTTTTTGATTGAGACTCATGCCGCGATCTCGACATTCATCATTTTTATAATACAAAACCTTCGTACACAGACGTACGTAGTGTAATAGTAACTACAACAATTGTCTATCAAAAATAAGAACAACGCTATACTAATACACTTAAAGTAATATACAAAAGTATCATGACTATTACAACCAACTTACTTGTCAGTGCTTTAATGTCATCCAAATATTTTTGTTTTTTGCTAAAAAGAGAATCCTGCCGCTCCTTTACTAGACGGAAATTACTTATCATTCTAAATAGCAACTGCCGCACATTACTTTTCAAAGGTTTCACCGTTGTTTTTTGTAAAAGAACAACGTTAACAGTTTGACACTTCACAAATACCACGAAATTGACAGTACAACATAGATATGAAATGTTGCTAACATTATCTTCTTACGGGGATGCCAATTTATTCCAATGCAGACTTAGCTTGGCCAGACTTATAGTACTTATCCTGCAGGCCTCCAGGCAGGCAGAATGAGCGGTAGAGTTTAACCATTGTGA